TCTCCCGTCCCACCTCCGTGAGAACTTTAGGACTGCTCCTTAGGTGGCGAGGCCAGTTGGGTGGGTTGGCTGGCTTAGGGTTATGCAGTTTGGCACTAACTCACAGTGCCGTGCAACTGCCTTCTTTAATTAATTAATTCCAATTTTTACAAAACCATCTTTTCAATTGGACCTCAGCACATGCCTCTAGGGCATATGTCACATCAATTACAAACAACAATCAAGCGTGCTGCCTAAAAGAGTCTGTGAGCCTCTTTAAAGAGTCAGACACAATGGGGGCCTGACTGCCTTAAAGCACCCTGCTGCAGACAGACCCTGAGGCAGAATCCCCCAGGTGAGGAATTGGGCAGCAACCCTCCACTTACAGATAGGCTGTTCACCGGCTGGGTCCCCGCCCTCAGCAGCCCATGCCCCTTAACCCCAGCATTCCCATGCCTTTGCTTAGATATCCAGGAAGCTCAGCTGTTGCAGGTGCTGTGGTGGCCTCCCTTTGCTAGTCCTGAGGTCCCTAGAATTCCAAAGCCCACCTCTCCACTGTCCTAACTGGGCATCTTATATGGATAAAGATGAATCTCAGGCCCTGTAACAATAGGATGGGGACCGAGCTGATCTTTTTCCCATCAGTAGAGATTGTAAATGCAGGGTTAATGGATGCCTTTGCGGCGGCTTGAATTAGGAAAACAGTTGAAGACATTGCTTAATGGTCTCTGAGTCCCACCTGACGTGACACTGGACAGATGCTTCAGGACAGCTGCCAGAATGTTGAAGATGAAGAAGGGAAAAGGCGTGCAACACAACCGCAAATATTTTCCCGTGTGCCAAGCAAGCAGGCGGAGATGGGACTGGCCTCAAACACAAGCCTCATTAACACTGTCCTCTCTGCCCAAGGGGAATTAGAACACATTTTTGGGCCAGGTAAACATGGATTTCCTCATCTATTTAACTTATTTATCGGCACACGTTGACTAGGAATCGCTTGGCCCTTTCACGTTTGCTAGAATCACGGTGGTCCATTGGAGTCCAGACTTCTGGAGAGCAGAGACCACATCCATGCACTTTGCTTTGTGTGGCATCCGGCAAAGGGCTGCAGTACTGTGTCACAGAGAAGTCCTGGACCTGGGCCCTGGAGATGCAGGTTTTAGTTCTGGCTGTGTGACCCTTAAAATTCAGACCTCACTGTCATTTTGTGTTAAAAAAAAATAAATAGTGGGGGCCACCTTTTGCACCCTTCCTTCTTCCTAGCATTGAGGGAAGGACTACCTGGGGTAATGTGGAAGAAAGATTTGTACAAACTGTCACATAAATATGGTTTCTAAAATATTATAGCATGCATTTTGAGGATAAGAATACCAGGATAATCCAAATCCGAACTCTGAGATGCTTCAGATGGAGAAGCTGAAGTACACAGACCGTAACTGTAGGGAGCTGTGTGAGCCACGTGACAGGCCCAGGTCGTGCTACAGCTAAAACCAAGTTTCAGACCCAAGTGACACTGGCTGTCCCAGCAGCCTCCCCTATGTCTATTGCAGGGTGAAACGGCTGCAGTCGCATAGCTGGCCTTTTAATGCATCTGCTTTTTTTCTTCTAGGGCATCCTGGTGTTTATTTTAACTTTGCACTAGAATCCAAGTGGGGGTGTTGGGGGGTGAGGGGCACAGAACGCAGGTGCCCATGGCCTATGTCCTCCAGGATGTACACATATCATGCATGAGTGCATGTATGCAGCCAAGCCCCAGGACAGAACAGCCAAGTCCAGCTTTCTGTCTCTAAACACTGTCATTTAGAGAAATGAGGAAAAGTGAATAAAAATGCAGAGTCCAGGACAGCTTTATCCATTTTGTAAAAAGGGCAGTTGTCCGTAAGAAGGGCTTAGAGATGAGAATTGAGTAGTAATTCTCAGGAAAGGAATGGAATTACAAGGTATTAATGAACGCAGTCAGCTTTCTAGAGTAGAATCCTAGGTATCCAATCTGGAAGGCTCCAAGAGCCATATAAACCCCTCTTTTTACAAAGCTTAAAAGGTGAAGTGATTGACCAAAGGGCACAATGCTAAAGTACGAGAGCCTAGGGGACCAGGACCAGGGCTCTGGCTCCAAGTCCGGTGCGGCCGGACAGAGCTACATTGGTTAATGCACGGGCAGGACGCCATGGCCACGGCCCCTAGAGAAGTGCAGGTGGTAAGAACTGTCACTGACTAGGGTTACATCCCTGGAAACTTGGGGAGCAAAGAAATGCAGTGAACAGGGAGCTTGTACCAAGTCATCCAGCTCACCTTACGGAAGCCAGATGGGTAGGTCTGCTGCTGTTTAAATGAAATCTTTGAAGGTTTTCGGAACTGTCCGTGTACAGAACTTTTTACTAATACTGTTTAATTTTAAAAAATGAGTTCTGCTAGTTTCTGACCACTGCCTTAATGAGAATGTTAGTGGAGAACTCTACCCAAGGCAAGGAAACTAGGAGGACAGATGCCTGATCTCCCAATAATGCCAGGTGGGGTGCTAAATGTTGTCTGCCGTGACTGCTAAGCTGCAGTGCCAGCAGCTGAAGACAGGAGGCACTGAAATTAGTAGTCTGACTAAGAGCAGATGCCCTCTTCTTTTGACGTGTTGAGTGATGACAACCAGTCAGCAGCCCCTTTCATCTGGTAGGTTTGTCAAGCAGAGGAGTTAAGAGAGAGGGCCCTGGCCATGTGGCTCAGTTGGTTGGAGCATTATTCCTTACACCAAAAGGCTGCAAGTTCAATCCCTGGTCAGGGCACATACTTAGGTTGTGGGTTCGATCCCCAGTTAGGGTGCACATAAGAGGCAACTGATGCGGGTGTGTCTCTCTCTCTCCTGTCAGACTCTCTCTAAAATCAATAAGCATATCCTCTGGTGAGGATTTAAAAAAGAAGAAGAAGCTCAACCTATATTCACACCACAATTTACAAAGGAGAGAGAGAGAGCAGAGGAACTGGGTTTTCCTGATTTTCTTACTAGCTCTGAGGCCCAAGGTCTTCCAAAGTACCAGTCACCAAGGTTTCAGATACAGGGACAGAAGGGAAGAAAATGAAGGAAGGAGATGTGGCCGTAGAACTGATCATTACAATCACTCTCCACTGAATGCCAAGGCTCCCTGTTCTTACTCTGCAGGAATGGGTAGCAGTTTTTCACTGGACCCGTCAAACCCTCTGAAAGAACAGAGCACTGCAAGTCACAAACTGGGTCTTGTTCTAACTCCATTGTTTACTGGGCTGGGTGACTTTGGCTGAGCTATTAAACATTCCTTGGCCTGAATTTTCTTCTTTGGGAATAATACCTGTCCTGCCTGCCTCACAGGGTTGCTGGAAGATCTGATGAGATAATGAACCTACCCTCCCTGAAAAAACCATAAAGCACTCCTCAAACAGAAGGTAATAATATTTCTATGCTAATTACTAGGAACCCTTCAGACGGCTGGCTGGTGAGAGACTGGAAGGTCACCTTGTTTCTTTAGCTATTACTCTGCGTCCTCCTCTCTTCTAAGCAGGATGGCCCTTGGGGAAGGGATCAAGTGTCCCTGAAGCAAAGCTAGACATCTCAGTCAGATGTTCTGGGCTCACCAGCGCCCACAGTTGCCAAGTTCTTTCTTGCACTGGATCTAAGTCTTTCCTTTTACTACTCAAGCTTATTTCTTCTTGTTCTGCTTGAAGATTTTCTCTACCTGCTGAAACATGATATTTTTAGTGTTTATCCACTATTGAAGAACATGACCCAAAGTTGCCAAATTAATAGCCCTGGAGTCTGGAGTCCAAGTGTAATAAAAACCAAGCATCTGCTTTTGGAAGGAAACTTGAATCCCTTTATTTATAAAGTTTTGATCTCTTCCCTAATCTTGTCCCACACTCAGGTCATTTTTACATCCTACAATAATTTTTTTTGGTAGGGAGTGCTATTTTGGGGAGAAGTGGCTGCATCTATATTAAAAAAAGTGTGGAGAGGTCAGCCTTAGTGCAAGAACATTTGTTAAGTGTGCTTTTAATAATGGAAGGTAAGGAGTAGCAATTAGGATAAACTTTGGAAAACATCAAGGAAGTGTGGATTATGGCCAGAAAACGTCGTCCAGACCCTTCAGCAATTCAAGTTGCTGTCTTGGGTCTTGTCCACCCTTGCCTCCTTCGTTTCCTCTCTCTGTACTCCAAACGCTTTCAGTGATAGACACCCTCTCTTGGCTCTGAACTTGGATAAACGCTACCTTGTTAGCTAAGAGTACCATTAATTATATTAGTGATTAATAGCTAATTAGTCATAAAGCTGTAATACTTACAATGCAGGCTTCCTTTCTTGCAGCGGCCCTATGTCTCAAACGAACACACCCCCTTCCCTATTCCTGGCCACCGAACAAGTGTGGCTCTCAAATTGTTTTTCAGACCACTCTGGTTATCTCCAAATTCTTCCCGTTTTTATTAGCTGTCTCATTCACCTGGCCAATGGCCACACTGCTTATATTTTGCCTCTTTATTTCTGTCCCGTCACTCGTACAGCCCCCCTGTAACAAGGAGGCCACATTCAAGATTTTTTCTTTTATTCTATTTCATGAACGAAAGGCTCTTGTACTTCTAAATATCACTCGGGCCCACTTCTCTACTTCGGTCCCCCTTACTTCACCTTTTCCTAACCCTCAACCGCCTCCTGTTTCGTGGAGTCTCACACCCCTCGCCCAAAGCTCCCTCCCACTCGACATTTTGGCTTCCTTTCAGCGACCACGCCCCCAGACCCTGGGAGAGCGGTGCGCACGCGCAGCCCACGCCTTTACCTGTACGCTCTGGAGTGGGCGGAGTGGGGGAAGGCGGGGGTGGAGCGGGAGTCGGCGGTTATCTGGGCGGTGGAGCGCTCACAATGTGGCAGGAGAGAGAAAAGGTGCACCAAGGCCAGCCCCAGGGGCTGCGCATGCGCCCGCCGCGCCCAGTGGCCGGGATGCCAGGGGGGCGGGCGGAGGGAGGTGTCGGGATCCCTGTAAGGCGGGGGGGCCGGCGAGGGAAGGGGCCGCGGGCGCGCGCGCGCTCGCCGCCGCTCTCCCTTCCTCCCTGCCCCCCTCTCCGCACACACATCCACACGCGCACACCCCCCTGCCCTCCCTCCCCGCGCGCCGCCCGCCCCGCCGGCCCCGCTCGCCCTCGCGCGCTCGGAAGGGAGTCGCGAGACGTCGGAGCGGCGGCCACGTAGCGCTGCGGCGGCGGCCGAGGCCGGGTCTGCGGAGCGGCCCGGAGTACGGACCTTGGGCGAGGGGGGAGGGGCCGGCCCGGCCGGCGGTTGTTACTCGAGCACCGCGGCTACAGGCCCCCCGCCGCAGGATGGACCGCCGAGGCGGCGGTCGGGGCGGCGGAGGCGGAGGCGGCCGGCCCGGGTGAGTAGGGGCCCCAGCCCCCCACGCACACACCACATTCGCGTTTTCGCCCCTTGCAGCCTCCCGCCCGGCCGGCCGGGATTCTGGGCGCCGGGTTAACCCTTCGCGGAGGCAGCTGCGTGCACTAGGCCGAAGCAGCCCCCATCCTGCTGGGAGGCCCGGGGAGCTTACGCTCTTCGGCTAGGCGCTCGGGCTGGGGACGCCTGCTTCTGCCCCTTCGCTCCCTCCCTCCCGGACCTAGGCTGGGCTGCAGTTTTGGAGTCGCTGGCCCCGAGGCCTGAGGGGAGTCTGGGTCTGCATTGGTTAGCGGGCCAAGGGGAGGTTTGCACCAGTCCTGCGAACAATTCTACTGCCCAGCAGCTGGTGACTTGCACCCACTGCCTCCCCCGCCCTGCGGTTGCACCCAAATCTCCAACCCCCGGGGAGTATTGTGTCGCCCGAGATAAAATGCATATATAGTATCCAGCTGCACAACACTCACCCCAGAGGGTAACACAGACCTTTTTTCATCCCCCACCTCTTCCTCCCCTCCAATCAGGCTTTACTAAAGATTCTTAGATGGGAGACACTGAAGGTAGTGACACCCCTGTTACATGGGCACATAACGTGTTCATTGTCGAAGGACGTCTCCTGGAGAAATGATAAATGCCCCTGCCTCACCCTCCAAGTCTGCCCTGACAATTTAAGATCCCATATACTCTTTTGAAGAGGGCCAGTCTTTGATCACATCTAGTACATCCCTCCCCCACAACACACACACACACACACACACACACTCTCTCTCTCTTTCTGATTGCTGAGCAGCCACTGTCATCGCGATCCATTGTCAGGAGTGGCTTGTGCCAATCAAAGGAATGTGCTTTTGCCTTTGGAGAAGGGTGATTTCCACAACCATGTCCCTGCGTGAGTCTGTCTTTGATCGTCCCCATAGAGTGTTGCTCTTACATACATCTCCTGTAGACCCTCAGTTATACCTGAGTGATGCTTTTCCGAGTTAATTAAATACATGTGTGTGGGAATTTCCTCTATTTTGTTGTAATGTTCAACATCTACTGTCAGGGCACAGTAAATAAATAAGGTACTATTTTGCGAAGACTGTGTATTTTACCCCCAGAGATGACCAGGCCAGTATTGTTCTGGGAATGGTAACTAGCGCATGCTTTGTTGACAACATGTGTATGCTTAGGGAATGAAGGGCTGCTGTGGCTGGCGCACGCGCGCGTGTGAGTATGTGTGTGTGTGTGTGTGTGTGTGCGCGCGTGCACGAAGTGCAGGTGCTGTTCCCATGTAAAGCTGATTTGAGAGTGGTGAGCTGCACCGTGATCCTCAGAGTGGGCCGGCAGCTCGGTTGGTTGTGTCAGGACTGTGCACATGTATTCAGCTAGATACTGCTTTTAGTATAATTTTGTTTAAAATGTTTACTGCTGAGTTTTAGTGAACCTGGAAATGTCTCCTTCCGCAGTCCTTAACCTCTCTTTGGGATTAGTGCAACCTTTGGGGCCCTCTTAGTGAAGTAGACACATTATTTTGTATGTAATTACAGTCGTCTTGAAGCTAGTCCTGGGACCTCCGGTTAAGATCTGTATTATGCAAAAGTGAAAGGAACTTGAGTTTTGTAGGTTTTTTTTTCTTTTGTGTGTTTGTTGCCCTTAAGGGTTGGCATTACTTTGGTCCTGAGCAATAAGCAACAAAGCTGATTATATACTCATGTGTGTCTTTCTTTGTGTTTTGTTATTTTATTACAGTGAGTTAGGTGTTTGTAGGGCATCATTTCTGTCTTATTTCAGAAAAGTGAAGACTAGAGTCAAAATAATTTGTCTAAATTTGATCAGTTGATAATGTATGTTCCTTGCACTCTAATCTAAAGGTAGCAGATCTCACCGGCAAAGTCAGTGGTCTGTTTTATGATGCCAGTCCAGGGTCTTTATATGTTGGTTGAGGTTGATCTGATCTTTTCAAAGAAGGCTTTATCATTCCTATAGTAGAGCACCTGCTCCATGAGGATGTTTTCAACTTTATTAAATATGATCTTATATCATTACTCAGGGTGACATTACCATAAGAATCATCCATTTTTAAATTTTGTTTTAATGGAAAGGTTTTAATTGTACTTAAGGAGTTCAGCCTCCATGTTTAAAATACAGAACTAGGGATGAATATTTTGCACCATTCTATCACTAAGCAAAGGACAACTGTCAGCTACTCTTGTTTAAAACACTCTGCCCTGAGACTCTGCATTTTGATCATATTTCAATCAAAAGACATTTATTCCAGCTTTGTGGTAGTGTTATGATGGGCAGTGACATTTAAAAGCCCAGTCTGCAGCTCTCCAGGAGCTTACGATTTTGACAATATTTTTTACTTAAAGAATTCTTTTCACCCTGACTGGTGTGGCTCATTGGGTTGTGCGTCGTCATGCAAAGCAAAAGGTAGCTGGTTGGACTCCTGGTTCCGGCACATGCCTGGGTTGCAGGTTCTGTCCCTGGTCAGGGTGCAGTTAGGTGAGGATGAGAGGCAACCAATCGAAGTTTCTCTTCCTCTCTTTCTCCCTCCCCACTGCCTCTAAAAATAAATAAAATCTTTTAAAAGTCCTTTGAGACCTTCATATTTTTCTGCATTTTGGGGGTCCTGAGAGGCTAAGGAATTCATGGTATTAACAGCTTTGGGGAAGGAAACAGAACCTTGGAATCTTGCATAGAACCTGTTCCACATACCTGAAGAATAGCATTTATTCTAATAATTATGCACTGTACCCTAAGAAGTTTGAAAGCATGCTGAGGTTGCAAATATTGCATTTTTATTACCTAATAAACATGCTTGAAGTGGCTTATATTACAGGTTTTAGTTTTTGTTCATGTCATGCGTCAAGTTTTACTGTCAGAAATTATTTGCCTATCCCGAACCCAAACCATTTCAAAGTTGCAAATATGTCACTTTTCTTTGTCAGCACAGTGTAGTGACAGATCATTAAAACCTCGGGACAGGGTGCTTCCTTGGTTTTTAATATGGCAGGACCTCTTCTAACCAGTCACTTACCTAGTTAAACACCCACACACCACAGAGCAGCTGATCGCATAACACCAGCATTCTTCTCTCTGCCAGGTAGATGCAGGGCTTGGAAACTGGGAAACAATGGCATAGCGGCGGAACACGGACGGAGCAGTGGTGCCGGCAGCTCACCACTAATATGAACAGCTTGCTTTAACTTCTGCAGCACTCCTCTTCAGACACCCTGCCCTTAGGAGGTTTCAGGTCAGCAGCTCCTACCCAAGGGAAACAGCACCTACTTTCTGCACCCGTGGCCTGGAGATCTGATTCATGACACCCAGAGTGTTTTCATTTCTGCTCTAGGTGTGGGAAGTAATGTTGTAGTGTGGTAAGAGAATACTTTTCAAGTCTGTAGGAAAAAAGTTGATTAGTAATGCTACTGATGTGACTGTGTTTTTCATGTCTGAAGGCTATGGGAGAAGTCAGCTGTAGGAGTGAACTGTTAAAAAGCTCTTTTCTAAAAGGGTTTTAGATAATTTGACAAAAAAATGTGAATATACTCTCGAGTTTCATTGCCCTTGTTCTAAAAAGTCAGTTGGGAGACAGCCAACGATGTAATAACAACAACAAAAACCCCTGCGGATTATATTGTATTTCGAACCAGAGGTGACGGTGCTTCCTTGCTGGGTCTGGTGCCACGGTTTTAGGTGTGATAACTTTCTCATCTGCTTGTCAACGCTTCAGTCAGCACTAGAGTTTACTCGGATGCAGGTGATCCAGTGTTGTAGTTAGTGACCTAAGCTGAAGGAGGAGCGGGGAGGGAAATGGTTCTTTGGAGCCAGGCAGAGCTGGGTTTGAATCCCAGCCCCACCATTTACTGGCACTATGGCCTTGGGCAAGTCACCCTGACCTCTCTGGTCTTAGTGTCCCCCTCAGCAGAGTGGAGTTTGTTAGGAGGATGAGAGAGAGACAATATGCACAGACCTGTAGCGCAGTTGCTGGCACTCGCGTTAAGGGAGTATTCAGGAATCAGTAGACGGTCACACTGATGTGGAGTGTCACTACGGATCATTTTGGCTTTTACGACTTAGAAGTCTGGTGCTGTACTCTGCATACTTTCATTTGTGCAGATTTGGGATGGAAAAAATGCAAGTATTTATCTTGGAGTGTACCTAAGCCTTACAGGTGCAGGGTGCTTATTGGAACTTTGATTTGTTGCTCTGTGACGGACTGAACTCTGTGGAGACGTTAAAACTTGGCCGCAGATTCTATAGTGTTACCCACGGGCTGTGCTTGTTTTAAGCCTCTTCAGAGCTTATTTGGTAGAAGGGGTGTTTTAAGACATTAATGTATCTCAATGAGTTCTGTGTCCAGAGTTGAATCACATGCAAAGCCTTGTGCAAATTTTCATGGGCAATGCAAGTGGTAAAGTGCTTGGTAGAATCAGTGAAGACATCAGATGCTTATTTTAGTTCATCTGCTTGTTTACATAGCAGTTATCTTTGATTTTTACAAACACTTGTGAACATTTTCTCTTAAAGAATTCCAACTGCTCTTCTGAGGTTTCAATTATAAACTGTTATTAGTGCCAGCTATAGGTTGGAGAGTCTGAGGCATGTTTGCTTTGTTGGGAGGAGGAAAGAAAAGCAAGGTCCCTTTACCTGATATCAAATTTTATCAACTCTCCACTTTAGGCCTTTTCCTACGGGTTGTGTGTGTAGTTCCTTGCCTTGTTTTTAGCTAAAAAGGCAGTTTTAGTGGTAAATTATGACATCATCTTTTAAAAAACAATTTCAGAGATTGATTACTTTGAAAAGTAGATTCAAGGGCATGTTTAGAGTTTTCTTTGGTGCATAGAGCTTTTAAAAATGGGATTTCTTGGGGTCTGTATAAATAAATTATTCTGACATTTTTGCAGAATATTAGTATGACAAATCCGGGAGCCCACAAGAGCTACCTGGAGACTTTTCAGATAAATCAGACACATCAGTGCTACATCAAGATTCTCCTCTAGGGAATCCGCTAATCCTTATTTTCATTTATTATTGAGCTGCTTCTAGGGGCTTGCCCATCAGTGGAATCAGTGAGTAGTATTGGATTGCTGATAAAGGACAGGCAAATAGTGATTTTAGCCTCTCTCACCTTAGCGTTGCAGAACACTTGAAAAAATTTAGTCTTGGCCAGAATGTTTAATACCAACAGCACTTGGGTTGGTGAGCCCAGACTGCACAAACAGATAAAATTTAGATGATTGAGCCACAGATTCTTTTTCTCATTATAACACATTTTTTATGTAAATGAACTTTTTCTTGGGAGGAGGGGTGCTGTTTTTTTAAACTATTATTTTTTTTTCTGGTTTACTAGAGTAAAATGGCCTGGTAGAGGGCTAGATGCTTCAGTCAGTTTCTTGATAAAGCAGTCAGTGTGTGGTGAGAAGGGATTGTTGGAAGAGAACAGAAATGGAAATGATGCAAAGAACAACTCTGTAGTCGCATTTTTTTGAGTCTTCACTATGCATGCGGCATCAGTGGGTTAGGGCTCTGACCTGGGTTTCACAGAGTTGTGTCGCGTTGGGCGATTCCTTTTCGTCTTTACTGCTAGTGAAAAATACAGTCTTTAACATATCTGTACTTTCCAGCTTTGAAGTTTTGATCCAGATTTGGGGATTCATTAGGTTATAAGCTCTTAATTACACTGTGTGATTTACAGAATGAGACTTTTACCTGGACCCTTATGAATTGTTTTCATGCTTTTGAATGTATTATTTTAATATATCTAAAGTAATATCAGTGGCCTGTGAACATTGAAACACACGGTAAAGTGTATTTGTTTTTTGAGAGGTGGCAAGGAATGTGTTGGTGTTCACAATTATATGGATAAATCTGTATTTTTTCTTCAGTTCCGCTTATGACTGTGACCCAGATGCTCAGGGACTTTTCCTGTGTTAACATAGTATTAGGGTTGGAGTCTGAAAGTCCTTCTTGTAATGAGCCCTACAATTTCCTCCCTCCCTCCCTCTCTTCACGTATAATTTAAATTAACTTAGCAAAAGTTTGGAGAAAACATGAGTGCCCATCAGTATGGTTAAATAAATTAGAGTATATTCATGAAATAGAACAAATTTTATATAGCTACAAAAAGAATGGAACTTTCTTTTTTTAAATCCTCACCTGAGGATCATGCTCACTGATTTATAGAAAGAGGGGAAGGGAAGCAGAGAGCGAGGGAGAGAAACATCAAGTGTGAGAGAAAGCTTTGACCTATTGCCTCCTGCTCACGCCCCAACCAGACCAAACCCCAGAAACCTAGGCATGTGCCCTGACTGGGAACTGAACCTGTGACCCTTTGGTTTACCTTATTATGATGCTCCAACCAACTGAGCCACACTAGCCAGAGTTTAGGAAACTCTTTATATATTTATATAGCTGTGGCAAATCTCAAAGCTGTATTGTGAATGAAAATAACAAGGCATGTGACAGTAGGTAGAATGTGTTACTGTTTGTATAAAAGTTTGGGTGGGAGAGTGATTATATCTGTGGGTTTTCTTCCATATCGTAAAATAGCTCTAGGAAGCTACTAATCCATTTTCTGAAACTAGTATTAGTTGTCATCTGGGGAAGCAAACTGGATAACTGAGGGTATTTGGGTGGAGAGAGATGCTTTGCTGTATTATTTTTTTAAGTAAAATTTTAATTAAAGTCGACAACGTAGAAAAGTAGGGAAATCTTAGGTACACACAGAAAAATCACAGGGTCTTTTCTCTATAATCAGATTACACAGATTATTTCTAGAACAAGAACTAGATTAGCTTCCAGAAGCCTCCCCTGTCCTCTCCCGGTGACTGCTGTCCCGGAAGTTGCCGCTGTTCTGAGTTCTGCCGTCACAGATGACTTCTGCTTGTTTTTTTGAGTTTCACGCAAGTGCAGTACAGTGTATACTAGTCGTTTGTGTGTGCCTTCCTTAGTGCGGCGTTATGTTTATGAAAGTTACCTACATTGTATATAATAGTTTATTTTCACGTAATATTCTATTATATGCCTATCTTATAATTTATTCATTCTACTGTTGACAGACATTCAGAGTGTTTCTGGTTTGGTCTAGTGTGAGTAGTGTTGCTCTATTTACTATGTAGTCTTCTATAATTAAGACTTTTAACTCATGTGAATGTATACCTATGAATTTTTTTTATTTTAAAAATATCACCCAACTGATCATAGGAAAATTGTAATGTCGTATTTTAAATTAAATATTAAGGTACTGAGTGGGGCAAAGTCATTTCAAAACATTCCTTTTTCACATTCTCGAAGACCTGCCTTGTATTTTCACAATGTCAGGAGAGTTCCCAAGCCAATCTAAGAGAAAACTGTGTTCGTTTATCCTTAAATAAAGAGGAGTTAAATATAACGGAAAGTGTCTTAAAAATTATTACAACTCTCGAAAATTTGTTTTGTAACTCAATTTATTTTACTATCTGATCTTCATAATATTGAAGTTACAATTCTTCCTGAATTGTTAATTATTAAAAATGTATTTTACTTAATGGAATTCTTGTAGCTGCTGAATATTTAAACTCTTTGGAAACCCAAGGTTTAAATAAATAGCAACATGAAAAAGTTAAATACAGTTAACCTTGTCAACACTTAGAAATTTGGTACCCGTGCACTTTATTTATTTATTTATTGTCCTCACCTGAGGACATTTTTCATTGCTTTGAAAGAGAGAGGGAGAGAGAGAGAGCGCAATATTAATTGGTTGCCTCCTTTGCACATCCTGTCTGGGGATTGAACCTGCAACCCAGACATGTGCCCTGACGAGGGATCGAACCCTCAGCCTTTTGGTGTGCGGGACAACGCTCCAACCAAGCAAACCACACAAGCCAGGGCCTGTACCCTGTGCACTTTAATAACTGCGGAGGCATCATCATTTCTATTAAAAACTGCATTTGATCATTTTTTCTCCAAACATGGAAATAATGATTAAAGTATAAACCTGTAAAACAGTGGTTCTCATCCAAGCACAGTTTTGCCTCCGGGGGACATTTAGCAATGTCTGGACACATCTTTGATTGTCACAAGCAGGGCTGGGTGGGTGCTGTTGGCACCTGGTGGGTAGAGGCCAGGTATGTTGGTAAGTGTCCTACAGTGTACAGGGCAGCCCGTCACAGCAGAGAATGATCTGGTCTTCCAGTCCAGCTGTGCTGAGGTTGAGAGACCCTCCTATAAAGCGCTAGTCACTAGACTGATGCTACTGGGCAGGCAGCTATT